CTCGTCATTGATATCTTCGGCCATTACCCAAGTGTTTTCTGACCCGGTTCTCCTTCCCACGCTACCAAATACTCCACCTGATTCCCCTTCCACCTGGCGTCGAGGATTTCTGCCACATGGCTGCTGCATTCTCTTTCTTCTATGACCGGTCCCCGAGTGGCCATCCCTTCTCGTCCCCTTCGTACGGTGACAGTAACGACCTGTGAAATACTGGGTGCAGTTTCATGTGGTTGGGTAACCGGAGCCTGAAAGCCACTGGGTTGACCTGTTGAATGACCTCAAAGGGACCCAACCTCCTGGGTCTTAATTTCTTACAACCTCCTTTGAACGGCAACCCTTGGGTTGACAGCCACACCCTATCTCCCACCCTTATGGTTTCACCTTCCCTTCGGTTCTTGTCTGCTTGCCTCTTGTATTCTTCCTTCGCCCTTTCTAAGTTGAGTTGGAGCTGACAATGGATTGCTTCCATTTCTTCTACAAAATGCTCGGCTGCCGGGACGCTCCATCTCTCCCCATCTCCCCTGGGAAAGCCCTGGGATGACACCCATAATTAGCCAAGAAGGGGCTCATCCCTGTGGACACATTCTCGGCATTGTTGTAGGCAAATTCCGCCAGCGCCAACTTTTCTACCCAGTCATTCTCTCTGTCATTGACATAACACCTCAGGTATTGCTGGAGGACACCGTTTGCTCTTTCCGCCTGCCCGTTGGTTTCAGGGTGCCGGGCAGTCGAAAATTGACCTCCACCTGCAGTAAGCTCATGAGCTTCCTCCAGAACCTGGAAGTAAATTGTTTTCCTCGGTCTGAGACCACCCTCAATGGCACCCCGTGCAACCTAAAAATGTGTTCTACAAATAACTTCGCTGTCTCTTCCGCCGTGACTGCATGCGAGCAAGCTACAAAGTGGCACATCTTTGTTAGTAGGTCCACCACCACCATGATGGCTGTTTCCCTTTGGACTTCGGCAGATCAGTCATAAAATCTATCGACACTGCCTCCCAAGGTCGTTCTGGGGTTGGTAAGGGTTCTCATAGCCCCGCCGGCGCCCGCCTTTCCCCTTGGCTCGCTGGCATTGCTCGCACCCTCTTACATACTCACGTACATCTTCCCTCACCTTGGGCCACCAAAATTCCCTGGTGACCAACCACATGGTTTTGTGTTGTCCAAAATGCCCCGCCGTAGGGCTGTCGTGCAACTGCTTGAGTACCCTCCCCTTAAGTCTCCTTCAGGGATATACAGTGCCCCTTTGTAATACAAAGCTCCATTTCTTTCCTCGAAACCCCTGGTTCCTCTCCCTCACCCCTAAGACCTCTGAGCTTATTCTGGGCGTATTCATCATTCTCTGTTTCCTCTACCAGTTCTCTTTGTCCCACCAATGCCGCCCCACACACCCAGCGGTCCTCTGGAATGACATGTCTCTCTTCGGGTGCTCCCTCCCCTCCAAATATTCAGGTTTGCGTGAGAGAGCGTCCGCCCTAATGTTCTCTGGGCCTGGCACGTAACAAATCTCAAAGTTAAATTTGGAGAACTCCTGGGCCCATCTCACTTGCCGTTGGCTGAGCACTCGTGCCGTCCTCCAATACTCTAGGTTCTTGTGGTCAGTGCACACTTGCACCTTATGTTGTGCGCCAATTAGCAGGTGCCTCCATCTCCGGAACGCCTCATGAATGGCTAGTAGTTCTCGGTCATACACCGTGTAGTTCCTCTCGGATTTGTTCAGCTTTCGCGAAAAAAGGCACACGGTCTCCACTCTGACTCCTCCTTCCCTGGCTGCAGAAGCACCGCCCCACCGCTCTGTCTGATGCGTCAGTTTCCACTCTCATCGGTTTTTGTAAATCCACATGCAGGAGTTGTTGTTCCGAGGCGAAGGCCCTTTTAGTTCCTCAAATGCTCGCTCCGCCTCCTCAGTCCAAACGAACTTCTTCTTACTGCTGAGACAGTCCGTAATGGGCGCCGTCAGGTGGGCAAAGCTTCGGATGAACTTACGATAGAAGTTCCCAAATCCTAGGAACCTCTGCACATCCTTCCTTGTTTTGGGTGTTTTCCATTCCAGCACCGCCTGGACCTTGCCGGGATCCATGGCCAATCCCTTGTCTGACAGGCGATACCCCAGGAATTCCACCTCCTTGGTATGAAACTGACACTTCTCCAGTTTCACCCACAGCTGGCTGGCTTGCAGCCTGCTCAACACTTCTCTGACGTCTCTCACATGCTGCTCCTCATTCTCAGAATACACCAACACGTCGTCTAAGAAGGCCACACAATTCTTGTAAAGCAAAGGCCCCAGGACGTGGTTCATAAACGATTGAAAGGTTGCGGAGCCTGCTTGGAGGCCGAAGGGCATAACCAAATATTCAAATGCCCCTAAAGGGGTGAACATGGTGGTTTTCCATTCATCCCCCTTCCTTATTCGTACCAGGTTGTACGCCCCCCTTAGGTCCAGCTTTGTGAAAATCTTTCCCTTCCGCACCCTTGTCAAAATGTCGTCAATCCTGGGCATAGGGAAGGCCACTGGTTCTGACACTGCATTTAAGGCCCTGAAGTCACACACCAGCCTCGGCTTGTTCGTGTTTTTTTATCCACAAAAACACTGGGCTGCCCCCACCGCCCTGGACTCTCTGATGAACCCTCTCTTCAGGTTCTTGTCAATGAACTCTCTTAGCTCCTGCATCTCTCTGTCTGACATGGCGTACAGCTTGCCTACAGGGAGCTGTGCCCCAGGGAGTAAATTGATTTGACAGTCAAAGGGTCTATGCGGGGTAGTTGGTCAGCTTCCTTTCGCTGAAGACGTCACGGAGATCTGCATATTGTCGTGGTACCTTCACGTTCTCCGTTACTTCAGTCCCTGCTAGGGTGGCTTGGGCCCCTGCCAAACCCTTTCCTCTTTGCAGTGTTCTAAGCAATGTGCTGAACCAAAAGAAACCACTCTCTGATGCCAGCCCACCAGCGGATCATGTAACGCTAGCCAGCTCATCCCCAATATAATGGGAGCTCCTCCCAAGGTGGCCACATTAAAAGCTATCAGTTCGGTGTGCCTTGCTACCTTCATTATCATTGGGACGGTCTGCAAGCTGACTTCTCCTCCCAACAGCTCCCTGCCATCGATCGTGGTCACCTGCAGGGGGTTGCTTAAAGGGATCGTCTGTATCTGGTGTTCAGCTGCAAACTCTTTGCTCATGAAATTGCAGGAGCTGCCTGAGTCCAACAGCGCCTTTATCTTTAGAGGGTGTCCGTTTGGCAGCTCTAGCGTCACTTCTATCACTAGGGCGGGTTTAGGAGGTTCTGGCGTGGGCACTCTCACTGCTCTTTGGCCTGGCTGCTGTGCCCCGACAGTGGCAGCCAGGCGTTGGCTTTTACTTGCTCCGGTATTTCTTCCTCTCTTCCCTCCACAGCTCCTACCATCCCTTGCCATTCCTTCCTCTGGGGGCAGACTCTGGCAAAGTGACCTGGCTGTTGGCAGAGATAGCATTTCCGGGCGCCTTTTCCCTCCTTCTTTCCCCTCACTGGGCTTTGAAACTGCGCGCGCGCGCTGTTCCGATTTCCATCGGCTCTGCCGGCGGGAAAGTTGGCTCTGGAATGTCTGGAATGCGGAACTCCTTCCAACGTTCCCCCTCCCTTCCCGCCTCTCCAATGCTCTCGCCTCCTGGCGCGCTCCTATGGTCAGCGCTGATTTGGTCAGCTGGTCCATAGACTCCGCCCTGGGCGCCCGGGAAAGTTCGTCTTTCACAGCCGAAGAAAGCCCTTCTTCAAAGAGCATTTGAATGGGTTCCGCCGATAAGTCCCACCCCAATCTGTGAACCAGCATGGTGAACTCAGTCCAGTACTCACGGACAGATCGGCTCCCTGTTTGCAAGCCATTAACTGTCTGCGCACCACTCCCTGTTCAATATCGCTGGAAAACATCAGATCCATGGCGCGAAAGAACTTCATCGTGTCCTTTAGGACGTCACTATTCGCTGCCATCAGGGGTCTAACCCAGTCTCTCGCCCTTTTCAAGATGCTCAATCACGAAAGCCACTCGTGATTCCTCGTCAGGGAATTCATCAAACTGCAGATTGAGGGCATATTGCATCTCTGTCCGAAAGCCATGATAGTCTTAGGGCTCCCCAAACTTCTGCACCAATCCTGGTACCTTTCTGGCGAGCTGGGTGGCTTTCCCTTTTGTCTGCATCCTGAGCCCTCCTCTCCTCAAGCCTCGCCGTCTGCATCGCTAGCTGGACCTCCAACACCCGGTACCTTTCTTCCAGGCTTGGACCCGCTCCAGCTCCTGCTTCTCCGGTTCCGGCTGGGTTGCTCATGATGCCTTCTCCTGCACAAGCTGCTTTCAAAGACTGTCGGAATGCTGTGATGGGATGATGAGCTGCTTGTGCGTAAAATCGTATCCCCTCAGAGTTTGTTCAAGTCCACAAACCTCTGTCTGTGACGGAGCCCCTCAGACATGGCTCCTCTAGTCACTAGCAGTTCCCTCTTCAGCTGCTGAGTCTCTCCCAACCTGTGTGAGCCCTTTCACCTCCCTTCCGTCCGATGGCAGTTCCCTGACATATATATATATATATATATATATATATATATATATATATACACACACACATATACATACCCCAGCCACTCTGGGCGGCTTCCAATAAAATATAAAAATACAGTAATGCACCAAACATTAAAAGCTTCCCTAAACAAGAAGAACATATGTTTAAAGAAGATTGGGAAATGTTTATTGAATATATGGGGGGAAATTGTGTACACCTGAAAATGTTGGCCAGCATTAAGATAAATCCAACAGTGTAAATAAGTTCTGATGAATGTAATAATGGAATACTGAATGGTTTAGTTTATGTAAAATATGCAGGGATTTCTGTTATGCAGAATGAACCATGGAAAGAGAAGAAGGGAAGTCATTGGTATTTTAAGGTTGTTTAAACGAATATTCTAAATTGTAAAAGAGAAAATTAAATTTAAAAAATTATGTAAAAGAAAGAAAGAGAGAGAGAGAGAGCGCAAGCACTTTGGATAGCTCAGTTGGTAGACCATGAGACTCTTAATCTCAGGGTCTTGGATTTGAATCCCACACTGGGCAAAGAGATTCCTGCCTTGGCTTGGACTAGTAGACCATCCTCTTGGTCCCTCCCAACTCTACAATTATGTGATCATTTATTTTATCTCACAGAATTTATGCACGGCTTGAGGATTAAATCTTAACATGTAAAATATACTTCAGAAGACTAAGAAAACTTCCACACACACACACAAAGTGTAATGCCCACAGTTGTTTATTTTTCTCCCAGTCCTTCCTGGAGATACTGGCAGCTGAACCAAGGTACCTTCTTCATGGAAAGCAAATGCTCCATCATTCCAGTACAGTCGTACCTCAGAACTCGAATGGAATCTGTTCCGGAAGTCCGTTCGACTTCCAAAACGTTCGGAAACCAAAGCGCGGCTTCCAATTGGAAGCCTCTGAAGCCAATCGGAAGCCGCTGCAGCCCTATTGGACGTTCGGCTTCCAAAAATAATTTGCAAACTGGAACAGTCACTTCAGGGTTTGTAGTGTTTGGGGCCAAACATTTGAGAACTAGGCTGTTCGAAAACCAAGGTACGACTGTATAGACAAAATTCATGCACAGTCCAGAAAAGGCCTCCCAGAAGTTACTGGTAATGTTCTGCTGCTCACGTGAACACATCACAGATTGCAATTCTGATGTTTTCATTCTGCTATTAATGGCACAGTTACAAAAAACAAAAACAAAAAAAAACCCTTATAAAATATAGGGAATTTATATCTCCTTTTGAAGCTGGAAGACAGGCTAATACATATTTTATACATCCTCTCTCTGTGTGCATGTACTGGCATTCCTTAGAAATGAGGAGGGAAATCCATTTGAACCAAAAAGAAGTTTGCAAAAAATATATATTTGTAGTTCACAATATTTGATCATTTGTCACTGTAATATTAAACACTTTACATCTTTCTAAATCACATTTGAAAGCGGTAACCTCCAATGTAAAGAGCCCAAGCCTGAAGAATCTGAAATACAGCATAGATTTCTTATTATCTCTAAACCCAACACTTTTCAAAGCTTGGTGAATAATAGAGCTGTTGCTCAAAGAGATAACTAAAGCTGGCAGCAATCTTCTCCTTTAAGGCTGCTTAAAAAAATAAAAAAATAAAAATCTCAGCAGCCTAAAGTGTCAATAAGTGATTAATGCAGTCCCTAAACTACTGTAATCAGTGCATCTCATAGCTGTAATTATAATTATTCATTTATCTGCCATACTCCAGCGAGCATGTCGTGTGACAGTGTGAGCCACAGCACAGCAGAGCATTGCAGAAAAAGCGAAGTAGAAGTCCGCACACGAATTAGCCAACTGAGGCAGCTGCCAACCCTGCTATAACCATTATTTAGCACTACCGAAATGCTTGCCATTGTGACAAGAACAGGGCATGTAGGAAAACAAAGATTCTTCTGAATCAAGATTAGGAGAAAGGCTATAGCTCAATGGATGCAGAAGATCCTGGGTTCCGTTCCCAGAATCTCCAAGTACAACTGGTAATGTCACATGTCTGAAATTCTGGAGATCCAGGTGGAAAAATCAAAATTGGAAACAGAACTGTTAGAACCCAAAACCAAGATTTTGTCAAAGATGTATAACTTGCTGTTGAAATGGAATACTCAGGATGAAACGGTGAAATCTGCTATGATTAAATGGGCACAAGATGTTGGACATAACATCATGATGGCTGACTGGGAACAGTTATGGACCACAGGTATGAAGTTTACGGCATGTAATGCCTTAAGAGAGAATATTATGAAAATGATATACAGGTGGTACATGACACCAGTCAAGCTTGCAAAAATCTACCATTTGCCCGATAGTAACTGTTGGAAATGTAAAGAAACTGAAGGTACATTCTTTCACCTTTGGTGGACATGCCCAAGGATTAAGGCTTTCTGGGAGATGATCTATAACAAAATGAAGAAGGTATTTAAATATACCTTTCTGAAAAACCAGAGGCCTTTCTCCTGGGCATGGTCGGCCAATTGGTGCCAAAGAAGGACAGAACTTTTTTTATGTATGCCACAACAGCAGCAAGAATACTTATTGCAAAGTATTGGAAGACACAAGATCTACCCACTCTGGAAGAATGGCAGATGAAGGTGATGGATTACATGGAACTGGCGGAAATGACTGGCAGAATCCGAGACCAGGGAGAAGAGTCGGTGGAAGAAGATTGGAAGAAATTTAAAGACTATTTACAGAAATACTGCAAAATTAATGATTGTTAGAATGATGTCAGAATGAAGTTAAGTGGCTTTAGCAGCAATGTTATAAAGGAGTATGTAAAAATGGATTGTTAACAGGTGAGAATCTAAAGTTATAATATATTAAGTTAAAGGATTAAGATAAAAACAAAGAGGGAAAGGATTTGCTGAATTGACTAACTGAACTGGAATACAAAAAAGGGAGGTGTGAGGAGGTCAGGGAAACAAGTAAATGAAAGACAAGACATGGAAAGATTGATTTGTTTTTAAGTGTTCTTATTTTTTTGTATTTTGCATTTTTTCTTTTCTTTTTTTGTTATTTTTTATTTTTTTTCTCTTTTCCTTGTTTTTGTAATCTTTTCTGAAACTTTAATAAATATCATTTTTAAAAAATGAAATTCCGGAGAAATAATAATAATAATAATAATAATAATAATAATATGTCACCTATCTGACTGGGTTGCCCCAGTTACTCTGGGTGGCTCCCAACAAAATATTAAAAACACAACAAAACATCAACCATTAAAAACTTCTCTGAACAGGGCTATGTTCTAAAAGTCAAATACAGTGGTACCTCAAGTTACATATGCTTCAGGTTACATACGCTTCAGGTTACACACTCCGCTAACCCAGAAATAGTGCTTCAGGTTAAGAACTTTGCTTCACGATGAGAACAGAAATCGTGCTCTGGTGGCGCGGCGGCAGCAAGAGGCCCCATAGCTAAAGTGGTGCTTCAGGTTAAGAACAGTTTCAGGTTAGGTACGGACCCTCCGGAACAAATTAAGTACTTAACCTGAGGTACCACTGTAGTTTTTTATCTTTTCGATATCTGATGGGAGAGCATCCTACAGGGCAGGTGCCACTACTGAGAAGGCCCTGCACCTTCATTCCTCGCAGTGGGAACCACCAGAAGGCCCTTGAAGCTGGACCTCAGTGTCCAGGCTGAAGGGTGGACACACTCCTTCAGTGTAGACAATTTTAAGTTAGATGGATCAGTGGTGTTACTTAGTCTAGCTTCCTATATAATCCTGGGAGGCCAGACCATGACTGTAGGCTACGCCAAATAGAGGTATCCACTGGCTTACTTTTTATCTGATAGGAATGAATGTTGTTGATGACTATTCACTTATACAGAAGGAAGAAAAGAGGGGTTCGGTCTCAAACTATTTGGTCTCAATTGAACGTAGCCATTTAGAATCAAGATTGATCCTACTTGCATCATTTCTGACCCTTCATATGTATGGTACTACTCTGGGTGTAGTTACCTCACGTAAGATGGAAAACTTGTGTCTCAACAGCATTATATATGAGTGAAAGTAGGTAAAGGACCCCTGGATGGTTTCCTGTCAAAGGTAACTATGGGGTGCAGCATTCATCTCACTTTCAGGCCGAGGGAGCCAGTGTTTGTCCGCAGACAGCTTTCTGGGTCATGTGGCCAGCATGACTAAACTGCTTCTGGTGCAACAGGACACCCTGACGGAAACCAGAGCGCATGAAAACGCCGTTTACCTTCCCACTGAAAGAGTACCTATTTATCTACTTGCGCTGGCATGCTTTTGGGTAGCACTGTGGTCTAATCCACAAACCTCTTCGGCTTACTGATCAGAAGGTTGGAGGTTCGAATCCAAGTGATGGGGTGAGCTTCTGTTGCTCTGTCCCAGCTTCTGCCAACATAGCAGTTCAAAAGCTGTCCAGAGTGGCTGGGGCAACCCAGTCAGATGGACGGGGTATAAATTATAAAATTATTGTTGTTGAATAGGACATCCCTATTTTCATCGGACCACCTATTCAGTGGTACCTATTTATCTACTCACACTGGTGTGCTTTTGCACTGTCAGAGGAAGAGGGGAGTGGGGGGAGCACACTGTTAGAATTCCTGCTCCGTGATTGCAGTCATGTGATTGTTGTCCATCACATAACAGTATATGTTTTGATTCCACAGTGTGGGAAGTGACGGAGACAGGATGTTTGTGTTACTGTGTTCTGTGAAGTGGGACTATTGTCCTTTGTTTTTTTTCTCTTTGCTGTTTGATGCTAGAAAGAGAGGGAGCCATGTTGCAGCGCTCCGTGCGTGTTTATATGTAAATAAAGTAGATTAGCCAAAATGCTGAGTTGCTGAGGTCTATTACGCAAGCTGCACAAACTCTGCGGATCCCTAAGTGTGCCGGTGTCTGTTGGTATTGGTCGCTGTGATGTTTAGGCTGAAGAAAGCTTTTGAAGCTCCTGAACGATCGACCAGGAGGGAGAGAACATGCCAATCAGGCACGTGTCCCTGCCAGGGTCCTACTCAAGTGCAAGACAATCTCCTGACACGCACCACCCCTGGCAGCATGATCCCGGTGGGGTGCCATTGCAGCTGCCCCCCGCCCATGCAGGGTGCCACACCCCCAGGACGCGCACGGAGAACATGTGCCAGCCACGCCCCTGCCTGCTCTCTGCCCCCTGGTGCCAGAGCATGAAGCTCCGCCACTGTGCTTTTGTTTTTTTTTTTTAAAATAATTTTTATTAAAGTTTTAAACAAAAAAAAAAGAAAAAACAACACACACAAAAAAACAATACAAAATTCAACAATAAAAACACACAACATAACAATTTAAAACAAACTCTCTTTTACATTCCCAATTTTGAATTACTTATTTTCTGGACTTCCTCATACCTCCCTCTTTTGTATTCCAATCTACATTATTTGTCCAGCAATTTCTTTTCCACTTTTTAAAACCCAATCTTTAATTTAATAAAATATTAAACTATATAACATAAACATAATCCTTGTTCTTAATGTCATATACCTTTAAATTTTTCCCAATCTTAATCTTTAATCT